GTCTTCAGGTCATTCAAGCATGTCGACTTCTTCTTCACTCGAAGCTAACGATATTGTTTGGGAATTAGTGAAAAAACCATTTTCTGCTCAGCAGAATATTATTGTTTATCAAGCAGAGACCAACGCCAGATCTTTCGACATGCCCGATCGGGAAAGCTTTTCAAATGTCGTGGTATTCAAAGAAAGAATGGTTTAGGCTAAATATGCTATTAGTATTATTTAGTTATTGTTATTTTGTCTTGAATATTTAAGCTTTCAACCCGAGCATAGGCGTATAAAGCATCGAGGCGCTAGTATAATATGAAATACAATGTCAATGTCGAGGTCAATGTAGTAAACAATGTAGTTCTATAAATAGCGCTGCAAGGCTTATACATTTCAACACGCAACACAAATATTTTAGCGATTGTGATTTAGCAACATATTTGATATATACTTGTTTGTGAAACAAACAAAGAAATTTCAATATATATTGTTAATTAAATTGTATTTACCATTTGGTACATACTCCTCGTAAACTGACAGTAAAATTTCAACTCGAACATCTGATAATGCCTAATTCCTTTCCGTATCTAATATTGTAATAAATTAGGCGATTGATTTTAAATTAAGGAAATTGATCAAGGACCATGCGTAATGCGTTATATTTTCCAAGTCTGCATATTATACCTATATTCTAGATTATACTGACTGTATTAGCAGCTATTTGTCATTATGTTCCATTAGTATATGTGGATAAAATTTATATAGTTCTGGAAATGTAAACACTTTTCCGACTTCACGTTGGAATACCACAAGGATAGCATACTGTACCAAAGTAATCAATTAAAAATTATGTAGTCTATACAGAATATATGATAATACAGAACATGCATGTAATATTTTCTGATCGAAAAGAAATACACAATTGCCGGTATGACTACAATTAGAGCGGACTGCAGACCACAGATTTCCTATTTTTGTGTCGATCTTCATTATTGTTGTCTGAAATATGCCAAAATATCCACATCTTTTCCTTCATTAGGTCAAGCTATTTTCCGAAATTTGATGCTCAGATTGCTGCAAATAGCGTTTCTGGGAGTCTATATTTCAAAAATTTCCCCCCGGAGCCCCCCTAGGATGTCTCACGTCTTCGGCGCTCGTTTGCATGCATGACCACTCACACGACACTGGCTTCGCCACTGTTAATACTATATGGTTTGTCGTAGAAGTCAGCAAGATTGGTTACGATTAAGTCCAGTTTACTCGACCCCCTTGTTGGAAAATCAACTATTTGCTTAAGATGGAAATGTCGAGTTAGATGCTGAGTCGGCAATTTATTAAAGTCACCAGTTAAAAGTATTCCACAGTTTGGGTATTTAGTTTCCATTACCTCCAAGGATGATTGCAGGTGTTCCAGCATAAGTGATTTATTAGCACCGGGTGGATGGTACAATACTCCTATAACGAGTTTAGCACATCCTCTTGGGAGGCGTCGAGAGTTAATTATAGCCCACAGGACTTCACATTCTTGTTTCTTTGGGACATCAAGGACGCTAATAGAGTAGATATTTTTTATATACAGACAAATTCCATCATGTTCTCTTTCTTTCCTATCTCGTCGTAGCAAAGTGTAATTATGAATTTGGACGACATCGTAATAATAATAATAATAAATAATAAAAACTTTATTTCAGTGTCCAGGTTATTTAACTTTTACAGCTAATTGGTGACACTATATATCTAAACATTTACAATAATTTATAATATGTATATATTATAGACTATATAAATAAGTGTATCTGTTCACTCCGTGCACATCTCGCAGCAGTTGGAGTTGTTGTCCAGCAAGCTCTCTATGTCTATTTTACGGACTGCTTTCTTGAAACTGATTAGACTGGGCAAGTTCTTAATACCGTCATTCAGTTTTGTCCATAGCATTGGTCCGAAATAACGCAAAGAATGTTTGCCATATTTGGTAGTATTAAATCCAGGTAAAATAAAATCACTATTACGTAGGGCATATGTTGACTGTTTTAGACTAAAAATTTCATTAAAACTATTCGGCGCAAGTCCGTTTTTAACTTTGTACATGTAAGTCGCAATGTCCTGTAGCCTTCTGTTGTATAATGAAGGGAGCTCTGCCATCTCCAGAAGTGTTTCATAAGAGTATGTTTTTGTTCTATAAACTGCTCGCAATGCACGCTCCTGGACACGTTCAACTTTTCGTCTATCCGACCCTTTGCAGAAACGCCAAACTATGTGACAATATGTAAGGTAAGGAAGGATAGATGTTTTATAGATTATCAGTTTAGCTGAACACGGTATTAAATTGCGTAATCGAGTTAGTACTCCAACTTTTCTGCTCTCCTTTTTACATAACTCGCTGATGTGGTTACTAAAATTTAAATTGTCATCAACTTTTACCCCAAGCAGTTCCATTTAGTCATTATTCTTGACAACTTTCCATTCAAGAATATGTCTTTATTCTGTCGACTAGTGTCCACGTTTCTTGGGTTTATGGTGAGCACCTGGAATTTGTCTGGATTTGCTTGTAGATAATTTTCTTCATACCATGACATTGCTTGTTTCCCTTGTTCCTCTAGACTGTCTTTTACCATGGCCAGGTTTGAGCCTGTTTTGTACATTTGATGGTCATCCGCGTACATGGTCAAGTTTGAATTGGTTACTTGTTGACCCATATCATTTTGAAAAAGGTTCCAAATCAGCGGAATTTTTCATAGTGTCCAATGTTTCATTAAAGAAAGTGGTCGATTTGCTCTTGTAGAGCCTTGATGACCAATTATTATTCTATCTATTTATAATGAACTGATTTGCAAATGCTAGTTTAATAATGTATATCGTATTTGTAAAAATCGTTGAGTGTCTGTTTTATGTATATCGTTGTAAATTTGTAATAGTAAGCCCTCTAGATGAGCATTATATGCTCTTAGGGAAACTATATCATAAAATATTTATTAAATCAAATCAGCGGCCCAAAAGAAGACCCCTGGGGACACCCTCTTTTCATATATTTCCATTCATTTTCCTTATTACCAACTTTAACTCTATTCATCCGGTTCTCAAAAATGATCTCACGAGATTCAGGGAAGATGATACAAACCCGTAGGCTTCAAATCCGTAGACTTAGCGTATGAGAGAGCGAGTCAAAAGCTTTGCTCATGTCAGTTGAGAGCACGCATACCGCTTCCCTGTAATCTATAGCTTTCTTCCAATCTTCTACTAGACGTACAAGGGTCGTCCCAGAACTATGTGTCTTTCTATATGCTGTCATTCGGTCGTGCAAGATTGAGTCAAACTTCTCAGTCACTTGGATGCAAAGCAACTGTTCAAAAACCTTGTCAACTGTTATTAACGATGTTATGGGTCTATAATTCTTGTCCTCCTGGCTGTCACCCTGCTTATATACTGGTGTCCACTCTCCCATTTTCCAGTGAGTTGGTCATTTACACCTGTATATACATTCGTTATAGAGGTTTGTAAGAGATGGAGATACTCCTCTTGCAACCTTCTTCAGTAGATTAGGTGTTGTCCCCGGGTTCCAACCACTAGCCTTTTTTGGATTGAGATGTTCCAATGTGAATGTAACTTCATCCTGACTTAATTTTCTAAACTCAAAACCTGCATTCGGATTTGTTTGAAAAGTTTCGCGTATAACTTTCACACTATTATGATAATCATGGTCTTTCTCTGTAAGGTTGTTGACATGATCTCCTCCAATACTGCATGCAGCTGTATTAAAGTAATCGGCAAGTAGTTCTGTAACTTCATATTCGTTTGTTTTCACCGTGCTTTCATTTGTTCTTAGACATATCACAGCAGGATCTTTGACTTTGTCGCTGAGGAATGGTTTAAAAGTTTTGTAGAACTCAGATGGCTTGTCGCGCAGATCTTCGGACGTTTTGTGGCAGTATGCACTAACCGCTTTCCTCCTTCCTTTATTAGCTATATTTCGATATTTCTTTTTCAATTCGAAATTCTCTTTCGTACGATCTTTTGCAAACTTAATAGCATATTTCCTCTTATTTCTTATAGCTTTCTTCCACTCTATTGTCATGTACGGTGAGTCTTTCTCCCTAACTTTTTTACGTTTCAATGGAGCATGTCTATCAACTAGACTTTCGAAAAGGCTACTCCAATAGTCATATTTATCGTCAACTTCGTTGAATATACCTGCCACGTGCCATGGGGCATGCATGAGATCCTGATTTAGTTGTTCCAGGTCAATATTCTTTAAACTTCTGAATGTTATAACTTTGGATTTGTATTTGCATACATTTTCCTTAATTATACCAAAAACTATGGAGTGATATCACTAAATTCAGCACAGTAGAAACATTTTCGTATACAGTATTCAAAGGCTATTTTAATGGCAAAAAAGTGGCAAAATAAAGTAACGGGATTTTGTTTATATGTCATATGTTTACATACAAGCTTCTGATAAGCTGTAACTTTCAAGCGTTCATACCGAAATATCAATAGTCTCAATACCTCTACCAGAAAAACCTATTAGTTAGTGATAAGAAAAGAACTTACATGTTTCGATCAGGTGTTTTTGAAAGTATCTTTCACAAACATGAACTGTTTGTTGAGCGATTTGATTTCGTAAACTTGCACCTATCTCTCGATCCAGCGATCCTTTGTCACGAGTCTCGCCAACGCTTCACGAGTTTTCGTCGATAAGTCGTCGTCTTTTGTTGGAATTCGGAAAATAGTAACACCAACGTGTTTTCTACTAGTCCCCAAACCATATATGGACCAATTTGCTCCTGGCATTTAAAAATTATTTCTATAAAAGACGTTTTTCAAGTACTACAGTTTTCTCTGTTATACTTAGTCTAGGATCTGTATATGAGTTTGTATGCATTTCATTTAGGACAGATAATCTCAACTGTTTTAGGGCAAGTTGACCATAACGGTGGACATGGTAAAGCTGCCCGAACCCCAATCCGGGGCGAAACGTCCGAAACTGACCACACCCAAAACGACGCTTTCGCCATAGTGCTATCTACCAAACCATAAAGCTTTGGCTATTCTGAGGTGCTTATATGGTTCAAAGATGGTACTTTTAGGGGTGGTCATTGGTAAGTGTAAAATGCCTAGCACTGATATTTCACAAGAAAATGACCATGCAACACTCATATAGTCAAACGTCAATTTGTTACTTACAGATTCAGATAAACAGCAGTGGACCTACATTACCTTTATTCCTAAATCTTTTTTATAGAAACATAATTGGTACTTATTTATGTATATTATCACTGCTTTGGTGTAAAATAGTTGATACTTTGTGACCGAAATAATAATTTGAAATGTATTTACCTCCTGCAAATGGACGTATTTGGCCAAATTCTCCATTTTACTCCGCTGTTTATCGCCGATCTCGTTGAAATCCTTCCAAATATGTACGTCAGCTCAGACACAATGGTATCAAGCACATTTTAAATAAGTTTTAACTTGGATTCAAGTAGATCCTAACTGTTTAACTATCGGCAAGGTAAAACCACAACTTTGTCCAAATTCGTCGCCATTTTGTCATCCCATGTCGGTTGTCAACAATTCAGCCTTGTTATTCTTCCATCCAAGCCATTTCGATTGCACTAATAACAAATTTAAACCTTTGTTAAGGGTAGGAAACTAAAAAATTTAAACAAAATATACGAAATGCAGCATTTTATCACCCTGTAAAATGTTGCTTACGAGTCTTTCAAAACATTCCGCACAAATCTCGCGTGGCAAAGTAACAGGGACGTGACAGGGGGTGGAGACTTTGAAGTTTTAAGCAAAGCAAATGCACGCTGTAATAGCAGCTGCAGTATGGTAAGACCAACAATCAACATTTAATTTATAGTATGACATGTTCATATAATATGTATTTATTTGTCGCTACAAGAAATAAAACAAACGTTTGTATGATTTTATTTAGTTTTTAGTCTATTTCACGCAGCCTTCTTCTATCTTCGTGAAATAATTCACCTCCCTTGTCACGGCCCTGTTACTTTGTCGCGCGAGATTTGTGCGGAATGTTTTAAAAGTCTCGTAAGCAATATTTTACAGGGTGATAAAATGCGGTATTTCTGATATTTTGTTTATATTTTTAGTTTCCTACCCTTAATAAAGGGTTAAATTTGTTATTAGTGCAATCATTTCGATTGCACTAATAATGGAAAATAACAAGGCCGAATTGTTGACAACCGACATGGGATGACAAAATGGCGCCGAATATGGACAAAGTTGAGGTTTTACGTTGTCGATCGTTATACAGCTATGATCTACTTGAACCCAAGTTAAAACTTATTTAAAATGTGCTTGATACCAATATGTCTGAGCTGACGTACATATTTGGAAGGATTTCAACGAGATCGGCGATAAACAGCGGAGTAAAGTGGAGAATTTGGCCAAATACGTCCATTTGCAGGAGGTAGGTGCATTTCAAATTATTATTTCGGTCACAAAGTATCAACTATTTTACACCAAAGCAGTGATAATATACATAAATAAGTACCAATTATGTTTCTATAAAAAAGATTTAGGAATAAAGGTAATGTAGGTCCACTGCTGTTTATCTGAATCTCTAAGTAACAAATTGACGTTTGACTATATGAGTATTGCATGGTCATTTTCTTGTGAAATATCAGTGCTAGGCATTTTACACTTACCAATGACCACCCCTAAAGTACCATCTCTGAACCACATAAGCACCTCAGAATAGCCAAAGCTTTTATGGTTTAATTGGTAGATAGCACTATGATGAAGGCGTCGTTTTGGGTGTGGTCAGTTTCGGACGTTTGGCCCCGGATTGGGGTTCGGGCAGCGTTACCATGTTGACCGTCATGGTCAACTTGCCCCAAAACAGTTGATATTAACTATCCTAAATGAAATGCATACAAACTCATATACAGGTCCTCGAGTAACTACTCGTATTACTCAATAAGATTTTGATGCACTGATATTGTCACGCAGGGGCGGATCCAGTTCCTAAGCTGACTGATGCCTAAGACCTCGCATTTGTAGGGGGTCCGGAGGTATCCTCCCCCGGGAAATTTTGAAATCTAAGACCTCGGAAATGCGATTTCCTGCTTTCTGAGCAAACTCTTTTGTTCCAATTCATACATCAGAGTCACAAAATTATTTGCCGCATTTTTGGAAAGCACGTAAAAAGCTTGAACCTATATCGCAAAACCAACATAATTTCTCCATATAAGAAAAAATATTTGCTTGTACAAGTGTAATAGCAGCAGTGGTACATAAGTCTCTATTCAAAAATAGTCAGTACTGTGCTTCTTGTAGTTTTAACCACCTTCCCTTATTAATTTCCACTAATTTCCAATGTTCCATGAGTACAATCTTCTAGCTATAGAATGGTGCATAAAGGTATTTTGTGTTCTAGTGGGTAAACTTATTTATATACAACTCTGTCTTATGTTGCTAACCTTACTCTGTATGGACAGTGTGGTTGGCATCAGTTGGTCAATTTCATTCGCCCATAGCAGTAGCTGCCTTTGATATAAACTGCATGGTGAATAGTCCACACTCTGAATACTGAGAATATTGCCCTGTGACCAGGAAACCAGTAAACTAACACACAACAAGCACTGGGTCTTAAAATTCTATAAGTATAACTAGGTACACACGACCACAAATTTTAAATCAATAGATACTGTGTGTAAATTGATTTAATGAACTATCTTAGTTGGAAATTGTTTGTCAAATGAACCCACCATGCAAATTGTACAATGATAAACAATATATCATGACATAATCGAATCATGTCTTGTATCTGTCCCCCTTTGCCTGTCTTTCAACTAATATTAATATAGCGGTACTTTTTAAGAAGATATTGTTAATGTAGAAAGGCTGCACAGTAGTATTGATCAATATTTTCCCTGTGTTATTATATAAATACACATATTTGTCAAATATATTCTTACACTTATCAATGGTAATCCTCAGGGTACCATGCTGGCTATCCAAAACATATGAAACATAGTATTGGGACAATTAGCACTACAAATATATAATTTAATTAAATATATTTTCCAAACTATCCCAATTTTGTGAGCAAATTTCATAATTATAACCTATATACACCAGTTACAGTTATATACAGCATTTATACCGTCCATATTTTATCATTCTAAGATTGAAATCTGTCAAGAGAATGACATATACAGCTTATATCAAATTATATTTGTACAGACAAAGCATATATACTCAACTATGATAGGCAACCAAGCCCAGGTAATCATCCTTGTTTGCAAAATATCCAGTGTACAGTTATTGCCCAATAACTCAGGCAATGCAAAGCAATTAGACCCTTGTCACGAGGTATGCCAGCTCATTTCCATATAAAATGAAAATGAAATGTAACAGGAGATACCACTGGAAATTGCAACTTGAACCAATTAACTTTCATGTAAACTCCCCCTTAGTCCTCTAACCAATAGTGCATCACTATTAGAAATCTCATTAACTAGAAAATACATGCATGCAGAAACCCTCGCCTTGCTGACAAAACCATTGTATTTTCCGAACATGAAGTATCTAAAGAAGTTGTCATGGTAACACGATAATTTTTTAAGAATATTCTTACAAATGAAAAATCGCTTAAAAATATCACTTTTAATTACAAAATTATCAATTTCCCAACATATATATGTTAGGTATGTTATTATACGTAATATAAGCTTCAATTTAAGGTAAAATTCAACCACAAACGCTTCGCAAAACGTTTTAAAGTGTTCTTTATAAAACTAAACTGCCTTTAGTAATTAAATGGCTTTATTGGTAAACTTTGAGTTTGCAATAAAATGATTTCAAATTCTCGCATGCAAATAACTTTGCTTTCTTTTTGGTTTAAAAAATTCAATATTATAAAAAGGGAATCAATATTAAAGATACACTGAAATTATATGCTGTACTGTCTTGTTTAGTTGTTTCATATACGCAAAGGCCGTCGGGTTTTAAATCCATTATAAAATCAATATTTAAAACAAACTTACCTTCGTTAACGTCGGCTCCCTTCGTTTAGCCGATTCTTTCGCCCTTTCTTTCTCAGAAAACTTTTGAAATTCACAAAATATTGGAAAAATGCGAGCAAAAATGAAATATATTTGCAAGAAATTTATCAATCATCAAACCAAGAAATGTTTGCTATTTCGCTGTCGTCATGCAGTCGTTGTAATGCAAACTTTAAATTGAACCAATCAGTGTCCGCTATTCATGACAGTCCAGCAAACTTTTTAGATCAGTGAGGATGACCACCCATCGTTCGTCACCCAC